CGCGCTCCCTGCACCCGGGCAGGCCAGCGCCCGGGATTGGGCGCGTGGGAGGAGCGTGTTTTGCAGGGACCAGCAGCGGCCGCCCTGCGTGGGAACGGAGGGCAGCGCTTGGGGCACAGAGGAGCGGTGGCAAACGCGCGGCTCCTCCCCGGCTGGCGCAAGGCGCTTCGTGGGCGCGCTCGTGGCTCACAGCCGCGTTGCTCAAGGCTCACAAGTGTTTTCTCACCTCTGGCAGGACGGTCAGGAGGAAATCGAGCAGCATGAAGCGCCTCTCTCCCGGCCCCAGCACCCAGACCAGCTACTACAGCGAGTCGATGATGAGCGAGTCCTACCTGGGGGGCAGCAGGGGACTCCCAGCGCTGGGCAGCTTGACCTTCGAAGACAGCCTGGGGGACAGCAGGGCGCTCCCAGCGCTGGGCAGCTTGACCTTCGACGACGGCCTGGATGGCAGCAGCTTCTGGGGTGAGAGGCTCCTGCCGCGGCGCTGGGCTGCCCGTCGGTCGCGGTGCCAGCGGTGCTTGTCACCTCTGGGGTGCTCAGCCATGCTGGTTTCTCAAAGGGGCTCCGTGTTTTGGTGTAGGTGGGGAGCTCTCAACGAGGAGAAGAAGAGGCACGGGGGATACCGAGTCCAGTAAAACCAACGGGCTGGTGGAGAGCAAGACATACGACACGTATGCCTCCTCGTCTGGCTACTCCTCGGAAGACGACTATGCCAGTAGGGATGCGCCAGCTCCTTGGCAATGGAAGGGGGAAGGGTGGTGGGAGCTGCCTGAGAGCAGCTTTGCCCAAGTCCCTTGGCGAGATCCACTTGGTCATTCACCTCCTCTCGTCCTCCTTTTCCCGCAGGTCACTTTAGTTCGGGCCAGAGCAGCTCTGGGTCAGGGCTCAGGGGTGCAGCCTCCCAGGTCGGCTCCTTCCTCTGGCACGTGATCACCTCTCCGGGTGAGTGTGGGGACAGGGGTGGCTTCTCACCGCAGCTTGATATGCTGTGGGTCGCTGCCCTCCCCACAAGACCACGTGCAGTATTGCCTGCTCAGCTGGATGTTCATTGGCCTTTGTTTTGTTTTGTCTTGTTTTTCACTGTCCCTTAAGAGTCACTAATGAAAGAAACAGGAGTGGTTTTTTTTTTTTTTTTTTTTTTTTTTTTGTTGAGGGAAAAAAAAAAGAGGAGAAAAAAAAAAAGGGAAATAAAAGGTACATGCATCAGTGGAAGGGTTTTGAAAGCTGCTGAAGGGAGCTGTGCCTGTGAGGAATGTGATGGTAAAAGCCCAAGCGCAGCTGCTGGCTGAGCGTGAAGGCTCTTACAGCCAGGTTGATGGGGTGCGCATGGTGGGACTGAACCATGTTGTCCCCTTCTGTCCTCCGCTCGGGAGCTCTGGGGAGAGCAGGAGCAGCCTGGGGGGACACGGGGATGTCCCTGCTGGGGCCGCACGCTGAGGGCTGATCCCTCTCTCGCAGTCCGGTTCCTGGGGTGGCTGCTCTCGTGGGTCAGAGCCGCCTGGCGCCGTCTCACCGGCACAGCTGCCCCGATGGACGGCGTCGCCTCGAGGAGGTGAGTGTGGTGGGGACAGGCGTGCGTGAAATGACGGGGGGACCCCCAGCACACTCTGCAGGCTGGGAGCAGTGCTTGCCACCAAAGGCAGCCTGGGCTTTCCTACATTTATTTTATTTTTTTAATGTAATCTTTTTTTGGTGAAGCTCTCCCTACCGATCTCCCATTTCTGGCTCCAGTCCAAAGGAAGGCCGCGGGTGGGAGAAGGCAGCTGCAGGCACACAGGCGCCTCTTTCTTCTCGGCTCTCCAGAGGCTATTCGGCTCTGAAGAAGTTCCTCCTGCTGCTGCTGCTGCTGCTGCTCCTCGCTGTGGTTGCCTATGGTAAGAAACCCAGGGCATGTGGCTCTCTTGCCCTCTCTGCCCCACAAAAGCCCTCTGTCCTGCGCCAAGTGGCAGGAGAGTGCAGTTGTGTTGAGGGACCCAGAGCTGTCGTTCTGCTGCCACCCAAATGGCAGAGCTGAAATCCCGGCACACGGGTAGGGATGGTGCGTGGGGATGGGCTCGGTGCTCCTGATACCTCGTTCCTGGTCCCTTGTCATCCTTGCCCCAAAGGCCATCAGGTGACCCTCGATGGTGGTAGTCCCTGCTATGGTGTGCTCTGTGCTCGCCGCTTTAACCATCTCATCTCTCTGCATTGCCAGGGGCTTGGTATTTCTACCCATATGGACTGTCCACACTCAGCTTCTCTGCGTTTTCCTGGGGATCGGCAAAAGTCTCATCCTCTGGGGGAGCAGATATGCAGGGAGCTCGGGACCTGACTGCCCTGGATCAGGTAAGGGCTGGGGAGCTGCCGCTGGGGCAGCCCCAGCGTGGGGCTCCCCCACCGCCTGCAAGCCCCACTGGGGTGGGTGCCGCATGGGGACACCTAGGGCTGTGAGGTCAGGCTCCCGCTACGGCCCTGTCAGCTTTGAGAAAGCTCCTGCCCTTTTCTAGGAAGCAGTACGTGAACAACTGCCCTTTGGGACCAGCAGGTTTCTGTGCAGGTCCCTCAGGAGCAGGCAGGAGCCCAGGGGCTGGTGCCATGCGCGGGGGTTTTGTTGGATGATGCTTCCCTCTGCCACCACAGGGGCTGAGCAGGGAGCAGCAGCTCCTGGCGCGCTTCCAGGCCCTGGAGACGGACCCGCCGGCAAGAGGAGCTCTAGGAGCACGTCCGCAGCGAGGCGGCCGCGCGCGTCCAGGTGAGGGGCGCGGGGCCGCCCCCGCAGGCTCCGGGCGAGGGGTGCACGCGGCCGGGACCCCATGTCTCCGTGCCCCGCAGGGCGAGCTGGACGCCCTCCGAGCCCAGGTGCGGATGGATTTGGACGGGCGCCTGGGGAAGGTCACGCAAGCCTCACAGGTATGGGCACGGAGCCCCGCTCCTGCCAAGCTTGGGGAGGGATGGGTGGACAGGGCGTCCCGTGGAAGCGGGATGTGTCCGTGCTGGGTGCCCGTGGTCGAACGTGGTGTTGGTTGGAGCCTCCTGCCGGGTTCGTTTCCACACAAGAGCAGGGTGGTGGGGATGGGAAGCACTGTGGGGAGCTGCGTTCGTGCCCCAGCTGGCGAAGGTCCAAACCAGGCTTTTAATGTCAAGCGTCCAAGGGAGCCAAGCGTCACTCCTTGCAACACAGCTCCTGGGAAATGGGGCAGCGTGTGCTGCGTCTGTGCCTGGGGGTGGAAGAGCAGGGCCAAGACGCCAGGAGGAGGGAGGGTCTGGGGGGATCCCAGCGGCCGGGGGGCCCTTTGGGTTCCCTCATCCCGCCGGGTCTCCCCGCAGAGCAGCCCTGTGGGGAAGGCCAGGGAATGGGCTGGTTCTGGTGCAGCACTGAGATTCCCGTGTCCTGACGTGACTCTGCTGTTTCACGTGCCCATTGCAGATCTCACCCTTGTGTTTTTGTTTCCCTTGTGACTGTTTCGGCAGGAGATGGAAGCCCGCTTGCTCAAGCTGAATTCGGAGTGGCAGAGGTACCGTTGGCTACCCGGGCTGAGCCCCTTCTCACCGCGACTTCACCTCTCCTACATAGATTTGCATCCCACAGGGCAAACAGATAGTCGGGTGAAATTGCTTTTTGCAGAGCCTAGGAAGGGTTTCCAGCTCAAGTTTGGTGAGGGAAGTAAGGGATGCTGAAAGGCGCAATTTTTAAGGGAAAAAGGTTGAGAGAAGTGGCCTGGATCACAACGCTGCTACAAGGGAGACTGCAGCGAGTGACAGTGGCAGAGACCTGTGTCACCAGGAGTCATGCAGGCAGGAGCCGTCCCACGGCTGGGAGCTCTAGCTGGTGGGGGAAGAGGCCCCTCTAGGTTGGAGGAGGGGAGCTGACGTTGTTGGTCTCCGGCAGGCGGGTTGTAAATCCCCATATGAGGAGCCCTGGGGCAGTCCGGAGGTGCCGTGCCAGCCCTGCCTCCGCGCTGCCTGACTGGCCCTCACGCCCTTGTTGTGTTTCCTCTCTTCTTGGTGGGGTGCAGCTCCGCACAGGACAGCCTGAGGGGGAGCTTCCAGAAGGAGATGGACAAACTGGAGCGGGAGCTGGCGGGCCTGAAGAGGGAGCTGGCACTCCTGAAGTCGGACCAGGAGGTGGTGGGGAAGCACATGGAGGTCATGCTGGAGCAGATCAAGGGAGTGCGAACAGACGTGAGTCCCCGATCCTTTACAGTGGGTCTGGCCTGTCCCATGCCAGGGTTTTTAGGACTGGTATTCCCAGGGGATTCGAGCCCTTTGCAGATTGATCCCAGGAGCCCTGCAAAGTCCTTGTGGGAGGCACCTCTGCCCGAGGCTGAGCTCTGGCCTTGCTGCTCGCAGGTGGAAGCGCAGGTCCCCGCCTGGATCAGCCGGTTCTTGTCGCAGCCCCGGCAGGAAGGAGCTGCCAGCCTCTTCCTGCAGCGGGAAGACTTGCAAGCCGAGCTCCAGGCGCTGGAGCGCAAGATCCTCGCCAAAGTCTTGGAGGACCGGAGGCTGTCGGCACGGGATGCCCAGGCTGGCATCGGAGTGGCCCTGCGGCAGGGGGGAATGGCGGGGGTCACAGAGGAGGTGAGTGTGGGCCTGGGCCTTGGGGACATGGAAGCACCTGCGAGTACTGGTGGCACCATGGAGGGGCCTGGCACATGGGCCTGGCGTTTAGCAGAGCCGTGGGGACAGCCCTTGTGCCTGAGATACTGCTCCCGGGTGTGCAGATGGATGTTGGAGCAGGCTAGGATGTGCTATGGTGAAGATGGCATTAGGGCTGGCAGACCCAGTGTGTTTTCCTCTTGCCCCTTTGCTGTTTTCCTTGCTGTCAAAACCCTGTCTGGAGCTTGGCATCCTGTTGCCAAGATGCATGTTTGCTTTGGTGTCTTAGCGCAAACAAGTTCTCCTGCATCAGAAGCTTCCAGTGGGAGCGGTTGGGATAAAGACGCTGCTGGGCCTGGGGCACACTCGGCCTCGCAGGAAGAGTTTGTGCTCCTGCTCTGTCCCCGCTTGCTCACTGAACACGATGTTCCCTGCCCTGACCCCCGTGAGCATCTCTTTGCTTGCCTCTCCAGACGGGTGCCTTGTGGCAGGGCTCTTGTCTCGGCACGTTTGCCCTAGGTTGTACTAACTCTGCGGGAAGGGGCTGGTTTGGGCAGCCTGCTAGGCAAGATCCTGCGTCTCCCTCTAAGGAGGGGCAGCTCTGCAGCGCTGTCTGCTGGGTTGTCCTGTGAGTCTGGGCCTGTGTCTCGAAGGTGAGGGTGGGAGAGGAAGAGGAAGGAGCCACAGTCTGCCTCTGCCTTGCCTTCAAAACCTGTGCCTGGTGCTCAGGTTGTTAGTTCTCGGGCCAGGAGATGTGGAGAAAGGAGGAGTCGTCGCCAGGGCTTGTACGTCATTCACCCGAAAGCCAGGCAGGAAAGGCCAGCAAGGTTTCCATGGCGGGAGTGAGATGTTTGCAAACAGCCCCAGTCACTGTCGTTCTCTGCAGTG